TATATTTATTTTATCGACTACGTTGTTCTTACTCCTAATTAATCGTAGGATACGACATTATGGTACCGATACGATATAGGTAGTACACTTTCGGCAACACTGGCCAAAAATATTCGTGCTTGGCTCCCATTGGACGGCCCGCGAGGCTTCTGATTGGGAGTTAGCGAGTTCCGCCGAGGGACCGAGTTAGCGACTTCCGTACGAGGACGGAATTCGCTAACCCGGCTTTAGAGCGGGTTAGCGGGTTCCGGAGTTAGCCAATTCCGAAACCGAACAAGTTAGCGAGTTCCTCTCATCGACCAAATTTGAAGATAGGGCATTTAACATGGGGTTAGCGAGTTCCAGAGTTAGCCAATTCCGCGGACCCCAAAAAAGTACATATTGAAGGAGAAGCACTGGCACTAATAAAAAACTATCTTGACCATAGGTACCAATATGTTGAAACCGATCAGCAAGTGAACAACACAATAATAACAACCAAATCATCACTTAAACAGAATACAAAAGGCATTCCTCAACGCTCTATACTTGGCCCACTTTTTTTCTTCATATACATAAATGATGTACCGGGAAAATTATCAATAGAATTCAAATGTAATTTTATTTGCAGATGATACTACTACTATGGATGATACTACTTTCACAATAATACCTACAGATAGGGATAAAAACAACCAGCAACTCATAACCGCAGCAGTAGAACAAGCAACAACAATATGCAACAACCTAAATCTAAAACTTAATACCAGTAAAACTACACATATTAATTTTAAACCAAGCAATAACCTAAAAGATGAAAGCGACTGGACCAACCTCAATATCGCAACGCAGGAAACCACTAAATTCCTGGGAATAATTGTTGATAAAAATTTGTCCTGGCAGCAACACATTGAACACCTGTGTAAAAACTGGCCTCTGCACACTGGCATCAAACCATAACCGGTGAAGAAACCTCCAGAATAGCCTACTTCTCACTTTTTGCTTCTCGTCTGAGTTATAGAATTGCAACATGGGGATCATCATCTGCAAACAATATGGACAAACTACTTATACTACAAAAGAAAGTACTACAATCAATATGCAGGACACACTATCTGGAACATTGTAGACCCCTATTCATCCAGCTCAAAATCCCCACTGATTTCTCACAATATATCATCCTAGAAACCATTATCCTAGCTAAAAAATCCAATCTAACACTCCGGTCACAATATCATAATTACAACACCAGACACAAAAACAATATTAACCTGCCACAACACAGACTAAACATGTTCAGTAACACCCCAACATACACAGGATCTAAATACATAAATCTTCTGCCAGAAAAAATTTAAAATATTTCACATCATACCACATTTTTGTAAAACCACTAAAAAATTGCCTTATAAACAAACCATATTACTCAACAAAGGAATACATACAAGAGCACACTTATACACATTTACATTGGGCTAGCTGAAAGGCTGTCAAGAGGATGAAGAAGGAAAAATTTTTGACGACTCCCCGATCTGAGGATTGTGGCGAAGAAAGAAGAGGTAAAAGGTACCTCCCTCCAAACCTAAAAATTGCAGTGTTTAACTTAGGCCTAATTGATCATAAGTAGAATACTATGTATACTATCGTGTTGCAATTTGTTTTATTTTATTACTGACGAGCCTGGGGGAGCGAGCTGGCGTAGTGGTTAGAACGCGGGACTTAAGTCCGTGAGGTCCCGGGTTCGATCCCCGCTAAGTCGCCAATGGATTTAGGCCCAATTTTTAATGGATTAGGCCCCCTATAAATTAGGCCTACCATACACGTTCCGGTTTTCCTTCAGTCCCGGACTGTACAGTCCTGGACTGAAGGAAAAACTGAACCTGTATGTCGATTCCTTCAGGCAGATCGTTGGCCGGACGGCCGGATGTGAAACACGTCCGTCCAGGCCCGGCCTTGAGTCCGATTTGAACGTGTATGGCGAATCCCGCAGTCCAAGACAGTGCTGCGCTTCCCCCTCCCCCTATAAATTTTAAGCATTACAGTATCGCATTCGCATCCTTTCTTCATTGTGAGTCAACTACTGGTGAAAACATAATCGGAGTTGTGTTGTTTGTTGTTTTGTTGGTATAGTTTTTGGATTTTGGCGCTGTAGTGTTGTGTAGTGATTTCGTTAGTACTCCACATTAATCATGTCTACCTGGTCAAGAGACTTCACACTGGAATTCATTGAGAAATACCGAGGTCACGAATGCATCTGGAAAATTAAAAGTAAAGAGTACCATAACAGGGAAATGGGGGAAGCAGCCTATCAACAATTATTGGATTTTGTGAAGAAGGCGGACCCAAAAGCCACAAAGGACACTGTGGTTAAACAAATAAATGATTTAAGAAGTGCGTTTAAAAGAGTTGAAAAACTCCAAACTGTGCAGTTCCGGACTGAGCGTGTGTGGGGAGGTCACGACTCCGGCCAAACTGTGCAGTTCCGGCCTCAAGGCCAGGCCTTGAGGCCGGGACGGAACGTGTATGGCAGGCCTAAGGCCAATGTTAAATTTCTAAATTATCAAATGAGTTGTGTAGCGAAATACCAATTTTCCTGAGGTAGTGGCACCAATCACAATTTAGAGCTTTATGTCCCTAATTTTAAAATTTTGTCAAATTCCTTCCGCTATATATTAGGCCTACAGACAAAAAGACAAATAGACATATAGCTCGTATTAGAGTATAGGATATGTTTATAAAATAAGCATATTTCTTTATATGTGTAAATAAATTTACGGTAATGATTAAATCCGTAAGATAATCGAAATAGGATGATGTTTGCTCGAGTTATTGCGAGACCTGCGGTAATAGCGTATTCCCTATGATATATATAATATGGCAGATTCTCTATAAAAGGACTAACTTAATTCAAACTCATGCCTATTACAATGCCAGTAGTGATAATGCCGCAACCCCTAGGTCTAGCCTGAAGTAATGTGAAAAACAATCCCAGGCTCATGCTTAGCGTCCTAGGACAAAAAAAAAAAAAAAAATACTGACTAGCCACCATACCCGTGCTTCGCAACGGGAAGAGAATGCTTAAGAGAAAAATTATTATTCCATAGATCTGCTTTATTGTTTTCATTGACTGGGCTAATAGGAATGATCGGTTAAGATTGTTCCTCTGGTGATAATTTAAGTTTTAACATCTTCATCTATGTGTGAATTACCCTTTGAAGAACAGATACCTTAGCTAGTTTGTTCTTCTGTAAAAACTGTGCTGTTTATTTAAATTAGGCTTAACATGATTTGTCTAAAATTGAGAGCAAAGCAGGCATTTTAGCTAGATGTTGCCTAAGATTCCTAACATCGTGCATTTCGCTGTCTCCTTCCACTCGCCTACGTGCGTAAATATTTTTGGGACACAAGAAATGGGTGAATGGAATATTCATTTGCAAATAGGTCCAGTTTTATGACCAAAAACAAACAAATAAAAAAGCTTTTTTTCTAGAAAATCTTTTATTTTTGATGCAACCTAATATTACATTAGCATTACCATGGTGAGTTAATATAATTTAGTTAAAAGAGATCTGTGAATGGCTGCAATATTGTTACAATAATTAGCTTCAGTTAGTTGTCACGCATTATCTGTTGCAGTTTGCCTTCTCCTCGCCGCCACCACTCAGCTGTGTTTGTCAACAACGATCTGTTTGTGATTGGAGGAGTCGGTCGACATAGAGTCATGTTAGATTCAGTTGCAAAGTACAACTTGGTATCCAGTGAGTACCTTGTGTCTTGAATTTTTACCCTTTCCCTTTCAGTTTCGAGATATTGAGGTCCATCTAGTATTATAAGCTGGATTATCTATATATAAATTACGCTAAGCCGATTTTTGTAAACAGAACTCCTCCCTCATTTTTTGACCGATTTTGATGGTTAAAATGTCAAAACAATGGCCCTGGTCTGCAGTTTTGCAAAGTTTTTTTTAGTTTTTTCATATCTTTATTAGTTTGGGCAGGATCTTCCATCAAAGTTGGGTTTTCTCCCATAAGATTAACATGGGGGAATCTAAATATTAAATTGAAAACTTTATCTCCACTAATTTGAGAGAACGGCTGGGCGTAGAAACTTGATAGAGGTGTCCAAAGAAAGGTCTTGGTCTGTAGATGAGATATCAAAAGAAAAACAAAGTAAATTCGCTTAGGGCTCTGCCCCAGAAGCCTTTAAAGATCCCTCCACAGATTTGTTTACATTTTGGCGATGTGGATAATACTTTTTAATAAAACAGCTGTTAATTTTAAAATTGTGTTTTAAACAACACACATTTATTGGGAGTTACTGAATTGTCCAAAAGAAGTATTTGCAATGTAATGCAAAATAATACAAGTGCAGAAGGGCACGGTGCCCATTTGAGCCGTGTCCATATTTTGTTAAATTTATAGTAGTTTTCAGCAACTGGATAAAACATTTTACAATATTTATGTAGAAATATGATCATGATGATGAGAGAGGTTACTTCGATGTATTCATTCAGCTTAGTGAAAACATAATATACTGTCCGCGAGAGTAAAGAAGTCCCTTGAGCCAGAGCGATACGCAGCTATGTTTGGAGGGTATCGCACACTATTTACAGGCGCTAAGCATCTGGGCGCCTCACCTCGATGTCTGTCTGTAAACAACTGTTGTAAACATAATTACTCATATCTTTGTTTTTGGTAAGTGGATTATCATCATGTGGTCACGTCATTTGATTCATTGCAGTCTCGTGTGTTCGCGTAGTGAGTTCTGTTTTGTTTTGGACGGTCCTTGTAGCTATGGATTTAAGAAAACGTGGTGCTACTATACTAGTACATAGTGGAGAGAGAGATTTAATTAGACGGGTGATCGAGTGTTGTGACAACGAATGTAAAGACAAAAACTTATCAATGCCGATAGAAAAGGCAACAGAACGTGCCGCAAACTATTGTTAAGTGCCAGAAAAAACTAATAAACGAATTAGAAAAGCCGGCAAACAAACTCCGGATGAAAAACTCTGTACACCAAGGAAAAACGCAAGTAGGCTGACCAATATTAAGTACAAATATATATCTTTGATAGGCGTGTAATTGTAGATGTAATACGCGATTTTTACAAGAACAAAAAAATTGTCCATACATGTAAAAAACTATTACCTGTTTTGAGAGAAAGAATTCATTTTAAATGGAGCGAATGGGCACTTCGGTGTCTCTTAAAATATATGGGGTTCAAGAGGAAGAAATTTTGTCCTAAAAGAAAATGTTTGATTGAAAGGCCTGACATCGTTAATTGGAGGTTTCAGTATTTGCGAGGGATGAGAAAGCTAAGGGGACAAAAAAAAGGAAAATTTTCTATCTGGACGAAACTTGGATGGACAGTAATTTAACGTTCCAGAAATTTTGGCAAAGTATAGACGTCAATGGCGTGTTACCTGATATGAACACGTCAAACCGCGTGATTGTCGTAGACATTGGGTCAAAGGAAGGGATTTTGCTTGTTTTCTTGATTTTTTGCTTAGGTTTATGGTAATAGGATTAATAACTTTAATAATAAGTTGTTTGCGATGAATGTTATTGAAACTGCTGAACTCGTGTACTTATATGTACCGGTAATATGCATTCACCATAAGTATATTCATGGATCAACTAATTATTTGGGATTAATGCTTTCAAACTCGGATTTAAAAAGGATTTTATTGTATTGTATTTAGTTGGTATTGTTACATTTAACTAAACAAAAATCATAAAGTAGAAAGGTTATTAATTTGCCTTAGTAACACTAGAAAATGGGTTTCCTTCAATTGTATGACTATGCAAAAAAATATTATGACATAGATTTATAAAATCATACAGATATTAAATACAAAAATTAAGCCTTAAAACTAGCAGAGCAGCGTGAAGACGGCTCTACAGTGATTGTCGCGCAAAACGTTCAAGCGTAACGCCTTCAAACTACGAATAGGCCGAAGCTCAGGGTACTTCTTTACTCTCGCGGACAGTAGATATGTATACAAATAAGAACACTTAGAGAGCCTTTGAATGTTATTAGACTAACGAAAAGGGTTGTGCATATTTACAAGCGCTACTCAGCAACATAAACCATTTATTTATCTCTAAAATATATATTCTTAAAGTGCACTGAGCAGCAGCCTAAAAAATCTATGTAACTTACCCATTATAATATGGTTACAAAATGCTCAAACTCGCATTGTGACATTTATGATGATTCGGCTTATATTTCTCCAACAGAAAATTCATCTGCAGAAGAATTTTATTGTGCTCTTACCGTTTCTAATAACATCCAAACACAGAAACCATACCTAAAATGGTACCTACCTTGACAAATTATTTGCAGTGGCCTATATTACGGACCGTGGCCCACTGGGTTGGTAAAAATTATTGAAAATAAGACAAAACATTTTAGCTGTAAAAATGGGCCAATGAGTAAATACTATTTAAGCAGCAGCTACTATCGTGACAGAAAGGTCATATTCCTTTAAAACTAGATCACATCATCCTTTATAAGATATGTTGATTGACAATGCATGTAAACTTCAATATTTACGTAACAGCGAACTTACATTATTTTTTGCTTTTTGAAAATGCCACATTACTATGTCATTCACATTATTTTTTGCCAATGAAGCTGCACGACCATATAAATGTGAATGCCCCTAACAGTTTAAGAATAAAAGCCAACTTCACTTCAAGTATATTCCACTACACCTAACATTTTGTAGAGAGTTTATATTAACAACTTTATGTAACTGATAAGGCTGAGACAACTAACAGACATCCCCCATGTCAAGGAATTCCAGCTTTAACAGTAACCCCACAACCAATTTCTCAAAACTGTGCAATAGGGTTATTCATGGGCACAGAAGTACGATATGAAACTGACACGTCGCCCGACTTGACGAAGAAAAAATCAAACTTACACAGTAACGGATATATCTCCCTTTGAAGTTAGAACGTGTCTTCCCAACAAACAGATTTTTTTCAAATAAAATCATAAAGGCGGATACCAGATATAGAGAGATACCAGATAGTATACTAACAACCCCAATGACGTACGGTATGGGAAATATTTTATTCAATGGATGATCAACCATATTTGGTAACTAACGCAATTAATATCATTATTGTTTTTACACTTATTAATCTCTTAACAATGCTAAATGCTCAAAATATGTATAATTGCACTCAATTTATCGCAGTTAGATGAACTAGCGTAGGCCTCGAAAGTAACCGTTGATTTTGACGGGTTTCACCTAGTATTATATATTCTATTCAGGGTGTCTACCAACCATTGTACTTAATTTTTTACTGGCCATGAAATGTACAGGAATTGTCCTTAACACGTTCGCTACTGCAATAGTACGAAATTTTCCATTCACATAGACCAGCGACGCACATATGCGACGACCGGTTTCCACCCATAGACTGCCGTCTCATATATGCGTCGGCTAGTCACATTAAAATAGACTGCCGACGCATATTTGCGTCGGGGTTCTAATGTTATTAAAATGCTTATATCTTTGTAGTGGTCTATTTGAAGGCATTGAATTCCCTGCAGTGGTCTACAGAGATGTGTGACGCACAACTGTGTCGCTTGGTCTGTGGGTATGATGATTGGTGACGTCATATAATAGTTGGAAAAACTGGTCTTTACTTTTCTGCATCACTGTATGTATGTATGCAGTATGTATGCTGCATTATCCTATGTAGCTTTTATATTTGTTCAGTTATAAACTGTCCTTGAATAATCTGTTTATTTATTTACTTACTTTCACCTTAAAACACAAAAAAATGAACTGTCGCATATATGCGACGTTTAGTCTATTTCAAGAAAACTATGATAATTTTCATTATTGTCTTCGCTGTAGACCGGGCGTCGCAAATATGCGACATTACAAAAGGTTATAAAAAATACAAATAAACAAGAATAATTTATTTACAAACACGATTGTAGCGTATTACAATGTAAATGATCACTGTTTTACAGGTTTTCGCCCGTGGTCTGTGTGTACTGTTATCGAAGTGACAGCCGGTCTATGTGTAAGATTCAAACGTATACCTCGGTCTGTGGCAATGACTGCGGCGTCGCATATATGCGACGCTCAGTAGCGAACGTGTTAAATGTCAGACTATGTCCTTAAATAGTTTTATGGGCCATTTTAAGTAGGGCATAAAAGTCGTAGTTGGTTAGGAGCACATAAAAGGTTTATCAGATGTTTGTTTACATTTTCATAATTTATTGCTAGAGTAATCTATATACAGTGTGTAAAAAATGTCTCCTCCCCCCTATTTATTTTTTTTATTTTTTAAAATAATGAAATATCGTTTGGGGAGTGATAGTAACATAACGTGAAGTTTCTTTTGACATAGTTAAAATTTTTGAATTCCCCCCCTAAATGGGGGGTAAGGGGGGTAACTCAAAATTTTTAAATGTAAACCCCTAGCTTGTGACACCTCATTTGAAAGAGCATTAAAAAACTAGGTAAATGGTGAAAACTAGAAATTTCTATCTAATTTCTAACCGGAATTACAGCCAAAAACGCTCAAAATTACAATATTTTTGGGAAACTCAAAATTGTAATTATTGCATACACCCTTTGAGTGACCCCTCATTTGAAAGAGCAATAAAAATCAGGCTTATGTTATTAAATTAAAAAACTGTTACTTCCTACAGCCAAAAATTTCTACAGCTAATAAATTATTATTTTAATAAAATCTTTTATTTCTTTATTATTGCAAAAGTGCAA